CTGAGACCCAGTGGCCATTCCGTAATAGTGCCCAGTGGCCTGTAAGACATTTGTGCCCAGCAGCAGCAGCCACCTTCCTCTAGTTCCTAATTCAGGGGGGCAGGCATGAGGGAAAACTGGTGTCACACAAGAACCCAGGTCTGGAGTCAGCTCTGTTTCTTACACTTGTTTGAATCTGTGTCTCTAAGTGTGATTTACAAATTGCAGACAAAGTCACACAAGCATAATTCCCATCATTTGTCTAGCTTGACACTGCCACTTATGAGGGACTGCTACATGCTAAATATAGCAAAATATTTAATATGGACAAATACCTGTTTGCCATTCTGTGCCTCACATTTTAACTTAATGGCACAGAAACAGGTTTTCAACACTTAATAAATCATAAAACTTTTAAAAATGTTCTGAAAACTGAATTTCTGCAGAAAATTTCAAGCTATATAAGCTATGGTACACACAAACACACACGCGCGCGCACACACACACACACACACATACATATTTTCCCCAAAAGCTTCCTTATAATTTGCCCAAAGTATACAGCTCAAAATTCAAGCAAATTGCTTATTACAAAACAAATTAAACAGAAAAAAAATCACAGCATGGTTTGCACAGCTGACACTACTTTTGCCATTTTCCGTGAAAGGATTGATAATTCATATTAATGGGCTGGTGCTGGTTTCAGGAACTATGACCATTCACCTTTGTCCTGCACTACAGTACACATAAGCCTCCTCCCTGTGAGCACTCAAGCATGGGTAGGTATTTAGTTTTTCTCAATTCCCACAGCATTTAGAAACAAACAAACAAAACAAAACTTGTTTTTATCTTATACTGCATTCCCTAAAGTTCACAAAGAGAGTATTTAGCTGTCAGTGGAGACCTGGGCTTGACACAAGATTAAATGCACAAGCACAGCCTGGCATCAAACTGGACCAGCTTGTCATTAAGAGATGCAAACTCAGGCCCCTGTGGAGGTGGGCAGGGACCCCTGGGCAGGCTGTCAGGCTCTGGCCAACTAGGAGCACAGGTCTCTGCTGAAGGGAATGCAGACAGGCAGCAAGGGTTGCATACGGGCCTGGTTTGGCCAGATCTTCTCACTTTTCTAGAAAGCCAGAAACCCAGGTTTTCATGTGAATATATTTTTTTTAAAAAACTTTTTAAATTTTATCTTTATTGTTGAAAGTATTACAGATATCCCCCCCTTTCCCCATTGATCCCCTCCACCCTGTATCCATCCCCTCACTCCAGGCCTTCAGCACACTATTGTCTGTGTCCAGGGGTTATGCTATATGCATATAAGTTCTCTGATTAACCTCTCCCTATCCTTCCCCCACCCCCGCCTTCCCTCTGAGATCCCTCAGTCTGTTCCATGCTTCTGTTTCTCTGGATCTATTTTGTTCCTCAGTCTATTTTGTTTATTAGATTCCACATATGAGTGAGATCATGTAAAACTGAATCAGGAAGAATCAGAAAACCTGAATAGGCTAATAACAACTGATGAAATCGAAGCAGCAATAAAAAAAACTCCCAGCAAACAAAAGCCCTGGTCCGGACAGCTTCACAGAGGAGCTTTCTAATTCTTTAAGTTGTAGGGTTAGATAGTTAACTAAAAATTTTTCTTGCTTTTTGAGGTAGGCCTGCAGTGCTATGAACTTCCCTCTTAGGACTGTTTTCACTGTGTCCCATAGATTTGGGGTTGTTGTGTGTTCATTTTCATTTGTTTCCAGGAAGTTTTTGATTTCTTTCTTGATCTTATTGGTAACCCATTCATTGTTTAATAACATGCTATTTAGCCTCCATGTGTTTG